AATGGCATGCAGTTTCCACCCTTTTTACCCTCCGTCTTCAAATGTACTAGCTTCTTTCAATGACATACAGTATCTCTTTTTCCTTTGTTCCCTTCATGGGTTGCCCAGAGTAGAGTGTTCCCTGTAGCAAATAGTTTTAACAGAGCTGTTAACATGGCAGTTCTTTTTTTGTTTTAATTGTGCTTTACATGAAAGTTTACAGAGCAAATTAATTTCCTATTAGATAGTTAGTACGTAAAGTGTTCAATGACATTGGTTGCATTCCCCTAACATGTCAGCACTCTCCCCGTTCACCCTGGGTTTCCTGTTTCCTTTTGTCCAAATTTTCTAACCCTTCCTACCTTCTCATCTTTGCTTTTGGGTAAATGTCCTTTTGATCTTATATAATTGATTGTGCTAAGGAACACGTTCTTCTTGGGTGTTGTTTATTTTATGGGCCTGTCTATTGTTTGGCTGAAAGGTGGTCTCAGGAATGGCTTTGGTTCCAGTTCAGTCAAGTGTCTTAGGACCACAGTCTCGGGTGCTCCTTCAGTCACTGTCAGACCAATAAGTCTGATCTTTTTTGTAAATTTCATTTTTTCGTTCTACATTTTTCTCCTGCTCTGTCTGGGACCCTCTGTTGTGATCCCGGTCAGAGTGGTATCACGACAGTTCTTTTTTTTTTTCTCCATTTCTTCGTCTTTCTCTAGACTGTCCCAAAACTGAATAGCTACTGCTAAGATTTGAGTAATAATCTGTTCTTGCCCCTTTTCTTTAGCTTTGAATAGTTGGCAAGAGAGCCAAGGCAAGGCCGTTAGGGCCAGAGGGAAATTGTGATCTGCCCTTACGTCTATGCCAATAAATTCTGAGAAAGACTCAACATACCACTGTTGGAAATCAATGGGGTACTTACTCATTTTCTGGATACTCCGTTGCAACTTCTTCCAGCTCAGCTTTGCAGAATGGCTTCAAGTGCAGCTGTTAGCAACCCCTCTCGATGGGTGTCCAAAGTCCTTAGCTCTTCCATAGCTGTAGTAGGGGTGGTGGCAAGTCAGATTCCCTTGGCCACCATACCTCTTGATGTGGTGATCTGGACCCTGATGTACTTGTTCCAAAGGAACAAAGTCTTCTGATTGCAGAAAGCCACACAGCAGCCAGTGCACATCCCTATGCATGGGGCTGTAAACTGAGAACACACTGCAGAGTACCTCTGCAAACTTCTGGGACACAGGGAAAGAAGCCTTTAAGTGACTGTTATCAGCTGTAGGAAAGGCATGGGGTTACCTGGGAGGAGGCATGTGTAGCTTCTCAATGGTATCCACTTTGCTGGTGATCCAAATAGGAAGGGTTGATTTTCCTCGCGTTAAAATAAGAAAAATGTAAATTATATGGCACATTGGTTTTCCTTCTCATGTTGACATTCATCAGCTTAGCACCTTGATTATTTGTCTTTTTCCAAGTAACTAGCTAGTTGACTTCATATGGCAACAGGCTTTTACCCAAGTTCTCAATTATTCCCTAGTCAGGTCTCTTTATCATTTCTACTTTCTTAGCTGTGTTGTGTGTGAATGGTAAGGGACTCTCAAAGGTGAAATCTGGGCTAAGACATGAAGCAGACTCAGGGCTAGGCCACAGGAACACAGATTTGTGGTCTCAAACAGGCAATTCATTACAGGCTAAAGAAATTGAGCCCTCATCCTTCTTTGCAGGGAAATCCACAAATGAAGAGAACCACTGGTCTAAAAGATCATCACCTCCCTCTTCCTAGAGTCAATTTAAGGCAATAAAGGACAAAAAGACCCAGAGAGAAATAGAGAGCAAGAGAAAGATGGGTTCTGAGAAAGAGAAAGTTCCTTCAGGGGCCTATCTGTGGAAAATAGCACCTACAGCAATTAGTTTTAAATTGCTGAATGTTCTCTCACCCCTGGCTATGGAAACTTCGATGGCCAATAGAAACTGCTCATTAGCATCACTTCTCAAGTGGGGCCCAGGGCACGTTCTTGCCTGCTATACCTTAGTTATGCCTCTTAGTGCCTTTAATTCTCTTGCTTCCTCTTCCATTTTTTCCCCCTCAATCTTTCCTTCTCACCAACTCATTTATTTTTCTTTCCTCTTAGAATGCTATCCATCCCATAAATACCAGTAATTCATTTCGTTGGGATGAAGTCTGCTTAAAAACCCATGCAAATACACTAATTTATCCAAACTAAAAGAATCATACTCAGTACACTTGCTGCAAGACTGTATTCACATATACCTATTCCAAATATGACACATACTAGCCCTTTAAGATAAAGACCTGTAGACAACACTCCTGGAAACATGTCTGGCTGCCCATATTTTCCATCCAACCATATGGTTATCCTGACAGGATCCTGTATTATCCATGCGTATTCAATGCTAAAATCTTGAATTTACATAGATTGGTTTATCTGGATAGTGTTCGAAAACAGCTGAGAGCTAGAGAGAGACTTTTTATAATTCAGGGTCTCTTACCTGTTTGTGGCCATAGATCTCTAGCTGATCCACTTAATTCAGGAACTGCCAAACTATCGCATCCTTGTTGCCAATTGTTGAGGAAAAGTTACTAAAAACAAAATCTACTCCCAACCTAGAAAACGTCTCCATAAAATAGAAGAGAACCCCTGAAGCTATGGCCCCTGGATGTTCTGTTAACCCAGATCTAAAACCATTCCCGAAGCCTAGACACAGATTAGACTGGCTATAAAACAAAATAATACTTGTGAAGAGTGTGCTTCTTAGTTCAATCAGATACTTGAGACCAAATGGGCAGCTCGTGTCTGGAGGCAGGAAGAGAAGGCAGGAATGGACAGGAACTGGTTGAGTAGCCACAGGAAACCCAGGGTCGAAAGAGGGAGTGTGCTGTCAGATTATAGGGATTGCAACTAATGTCATATAACAATATGTGTATAAATTTTTGCCTGAGAAATTAACTTGAGCTATAAATTTTCACCTAAAGCACAATGAAAAAAAAAAAAAAAAGAGCAAGAAAAGTTCTGTTATTGAATAAGCATTAAACCAAATGTGATGCATCACAGGCAATTCGCTAAAGAGACTGCAAAGACAGAAAGAAATCTTAAATTATATAGGTAAGGGGGTACACTCAGTTCATTCATATTTTAAAGATAATAGTTAATTTTCTAATCCTTCTGGTCTGTAGATATGGCTGGGACACCCTACTTCATGCTAATCTCCTTCCAGGAAAAACAGGAAGGTAGAGAAGAATTACCTAAAGTTATATTTACATGGAAACCCTGGTTGCTTAGTGGTTAAGAGCTACAGCTGCTAACCAAAGTAGACAGTTCTGCTCTGTTCTGTAGGGTTGCTGTGAGTCAGAATCAACTCGATGGCAACGGGTTTTTTGTTTTTTTATATTTACATTTTTTTTTTTAGAAAGGGAAAGAATTTACAAGTTATCTAAGGTGAATTCTAAAGAAGGCAATGGGGGAGGGGAGCGCCTTCCCCTCTTTTTTACCAGGGGAATTTATCTGTTTGTTTTCCATTTGTACTTGTCCTTACACATAAAAGGAACTCCCACAAACTTGTTTTCTCTACCTTGCTTCGACAGTATGACATTATGAATGATAATGCTGACATATACATCCATGTTAGTCTTTCTCTTGAGAGAATATCATTCACTCAAGCAGTGTGCTACTAAAGAAATATTTAGAGGCATAAAGTAGGAAGAATGTTTAGGCTCCTATTGCAGAAGGAAACTGCTTAGTCAATGAACCATAGTAAGTTAGAGCAAAAAGGTATCAAAGTACAAGTTTCAAAAGTTAAAAACATGACTGTCATGACAATCTAGAATGAACATGGTTCAAAAAATTACTTAAACCACTATTGAGGGAACTGGTAAAATTGTCAATCTGGTCTAAGAGCATTAATGGAATTGGTATTTACAGGCATTTTAAAGGAAAATAATGTTTGAATAAGATTTGTAGGTTAGATATAAAACTCATTAACGTCTCACAGGGCAATAAAACCATAAGTTTTAGGATTACTGTTACTACCAGATAAATATCTAACAACATGTAATTTCACAGTGTGTAGGTCTGATCAAATAGAAAATAGTCAAGTCAAACACAAATACATTTTTCTGAAGATGTGCTGTTCAAAGAGCAGCCACTAGCCACCTGGGTTATTTCTATTTAAATATAAATTAATTAAGATAAAATAAAAATTTAGTTTCCCAGTCACAGTAGCCATATTTTAAGTGCTTAGTAGACATATTTGCATAACAACTACCTTATTGAATCGTGCAAACATAGAATATTCCATGATTGCACAAAGGTCTATTGTACAGCACTGTTTAGTGAATTAATTCATCTTTGAGCAGGCCTGTTTTACCATGTCCAAGTATGACACTGAAAGAACACATCACCCCTCCGTTTGCTTTAATTTCGAGTTTGGGATTTTTTTTTTTTTTTTAACATTAAGGTGGTAAAGATCTCCTTTTCTACCTTCTCAGCTCTTCTCTTTCTCTTGGCTCTGCTCCCTCTCTCTCTTTTTTTAAAAAGAATATGATCTAAAAATAAGGGTTTGACCTAAATTTACAATAGTCATTTACTTCTCTCAATATTTAGAGAAATAACCCAGATGGCTAGTGGCTATTGAACCTGTTACACCTAGTAGGTTGAACAAACTATTTTGGATAAATAAAAAGTAGGAGAAAAAAGATTTTCTTGTAAATACCTATAGTTTAGGATTTAGAAACTCTTTTCCATTTGTCTAAATCATCCTCAGTGCTCAAATACTAAGAAGAAAGGTACCAAGAGCAGGAGGCACCCATTATTTTACAACATAAACCACTTATTTTAGCAAAACAGGAGATTTTCTTTTCAATTTTTATCATAAAAATTTTTATCATAAAAATACCTATGTCTTCTCTGATGCTTTGGGCAGATTTATCTACTGTTTGACTTCTGTTACTAGATTTGCACCTGTGATTTAATGATTTTGTGTGTGTGTGTGTGTGTATGTGTGTTTTTTTTTCCCAGATGTGCAACAAATGGCAATTGACTGGCTAACCAGAAATTTCTACTTTGTGGACCATATCGGTGACCGGATCTTTGTTTGTAATTACAACGGGTCTACCTGTGTCACCCTGATTGAGCTGGAGCTTCATAATCCTAAAGCAATAGCAGTAGATCCAATAGCAGGGTAAGAAACTCTTTTTTATAGTGTTTGATCTGAAACAGTTTCCATTAAAAAAAATCAGAGTCTGGTAAGAGTTGTACAAAATGACTGAAGACTCAAATTAAAATATATATGTATATATATTGTTGATTATAACAACTGTATTGAAGGATTAAAAACAAAACAAAACAGCTATATAGCTTACCATGCAGAAGCTGGGTAATACTAATTCCTGAACACATCAACATTGCAGGCCTAACCTAACACATACGCCCCCAAATTCCCGCAAATTGCTTTGTAGTCACCAGGGAAAAGCATCAAGATAGTTTTAATCTGCAGAGAGGAAACTTTATGATATTTATTAGTAGACATTGTAATTAGCAGCCTTCAAAAATGTTACTTAATTGGACCTAGAGATTTGTCCCGCATAACATCTAGGATTTATAAAAGGGGCACAGTATATGTTCAAGGGTACTTAGTAAATCATTAAGGATATCTTTATTAGTTGAGACTTTAAACTTTTATTTCTCTATCTATATCTAAACACTACATTATTATGGAGATAGTGAATTCCTCATTAGAATGCATCTTCAGGTATTTTTAACCGTTTTTGCAAGCCTCTTGATTGGTTAAAAAGAGACCTTATCTGACCTTTTTAAAGCTAATAACCTCATTAATATTTGTTAATATTTCACAGTTTGTTAAAATATAGTCAGAAAATATATACAACTTTGTTCTCATGATTGGATATACATTACAGGAGTTATATTTTTAGTCTGTAAACAATATAGTGTAATTAGAAGTGGAGGGGAAAAAAGTGTAGAGTCCTATAAATTTCATTTTTCACCAGTCAGTTTGGGGCAAGGATGCTTTCATATTAATAATATAATGTATCACTTTAATTGGAAGGGCTGTTATTTTTTAAGATGTAAATATTTGCAAGGATTTCAAAACTGGAATTTTATTCCTGTTATTGTTTTAGTAATCCCCAGGCAGTTCAGGCTGAAATGTCTGATGGAACACATCCTAAACTGCCATAAGCCTCCATTCAATAAATGGGAAAATATTTACTGAAGAAACAGCTGTCATCCATATGTGGACTTTTGTCACTCTTTACTTAAAGTCTGATTGAATATTAAGATGCATCATCACAATGGTTCTGATTTTGACAAGAACAGCTTGCACGTAAACTTTACTAGGAAGGCTGTGTAATATCATTCTTGAATGCAGCTCTATTTGGATTTGCGGCAGATGGTTACTTGACTCAATCTGACTGCAGTGATGCTTCACAAGACACTAGTAAAAGGAGTTATATTGAAACTGATTTGTTTGGGCTGTTGGATAAGGGTAGAAAGAATTGGAAATTTACATATGTGCTAACAGCATCCTTTTTGGCATCCTGTTTAGAAACATATTTGCTTGCATGTTCTTGCCGAGATTTCCTAACTGAATTTCAAATTAGCCTTTAGACAGTCCTCTCTGTCAAACACGTTGAGAGGTGAAGCTCCTACTTTTCTCCCCTTTCACTGGCACTCTTCTTCATTCTTAAGAACAAAGATCCAGATACCCTTTACAAATAAAACTGCCAATCTGACATGTAATATGTGAGCACGATCTCTCTTTCTGAACAGCAACATATTTTACGTTCTCAGGCTTCCTATTTCTCCTTGCCATTATATGAAAGAACCATATTTTGTCATTTTTGTCAAAAGGAGTTAGGAGTAGAAAACCCCCACATTGTTTGCACTTATTCTCTGCTGGATTCCTTTGGGCCTAGTAACTGTTTAAATGTAATTTTGTCCTGTATCATTTGTCACAATAGGTTCTTTGGAATTGTTTGTTTGAATTTGCACTGTTTCTCTAGCACAGTTTTTCAGTCATAAATAGTAGAAATCAGAGGAAGAAAATCTCTGCTCTTTTATAAAAACAGGCCTGCTTGTCATAGAGCATTTTCAAATACATGCTATTGTTTTTTATTTTTTTAATGTCAGAAATTTGGCTGGGATTAATATGGTGCCATCAAGGGAAGGAACAATGGATTTTTTCTTTAACTTCTACTTTTGAGCCTGCCCTAGAGTAACTTGGATAGCTGAGGCTAAAACAACTTTATATAACTTGATAAAGGGGAAATGTTGCACCTAGTAAAATTTCTGCTACCTTTTGCTAGTTGTACAGGGTGAAATATCTCTGGCTGTGTCTGTTATAACTTTAGTTCAGAACACATAAAAACATGTTAAAAGTCTATCCTGACTCTTAGAATGTGCCCTTAACAGGTATGAAAATGAAGGAAGATTTGCCTCATGTCTCCAAAGGCTCCATTAAAAAATATATATTTTCAAACCAAATCAAACCCATTGCCATCGAGTCGATTCTGACTCATAGCTACCAAATAGGACAGAGTATAACTGCCCCATTGGGCTTCCAAGGAGCAGCTGGTGGATTTGAACTGCCAACCTTTTGGTTAGCAGCCAAGCTCTTAACCACTACACCACCAGGGCCCCATTTTACTTGACCCATATTCTACTTGACCATAATTTTGACTTCACGTTTTTTTCAACCTCGTATTCCCTTTTTATCTAAAAACACTAAGAACCATTGCAGTGTTATCATTATTATCTTTTAGTTTTCTGTAGGTTGAAAATTTATTACTGATTTTCTATGGACTATATGGATGACTTGACACAGGCTACAATTTCATATCTGCCAGTAGAGAGATTGTTTACCAACCTTGTGTGTTCATTCTCTTGGTTTCTGTATATTGACATTGATTAGTAATTGTCTTAGTTATCTAGGGCTGTTATAACAGAAATACCACAGATGGATGGCTTTCACAAAGAGAAACTTATTCTCTCACAGTCTAGGAGGCTAAAAGTCCGAATTCAGGGTGCCGGCTCCAGGGGAAGGCTTTCTTTCTCTGTCAGTTCTGGGGTAAGGTCCTTGTCATCAATCTTCCTGAGTTGAGGAGCTTCTCAGCTTAGGGACCTTGGGTTCAAAGGATGCACTATTCTCCTGGCTCTTGTTTCTTGGTGGTATGAGGTCCCTGTGTCTCTGTACCTGCTTCTTTCTTTTACATCTCAAAAGAGATTGACTTAAAACACAACCTAATCTTGTAGATTGAGTCCTGCCTCATTAACATAACTGCCACTAATACCACCTCCTTAATCTCATAGAGGTAGGATGTATAACACATAGGAAAATCACATCAGATAACAAAATGGTAGACAATCTTACAATACTGGGAATCATAGCTTAGCCAAGTTGACACACATTTTTGATGGATACAATTCAATCTATAACAGTAGTACAAGCTATTTTTCTGGAGATGCTGTTTGAGACTTTCTTATATTTTTCAAATTTTAATAACATTTCTTTCTAATGCTTCCTCGAAATTTTTCTAAAATTACTTCTAGGGAGTTATTAGAGTTAGAAAAATATGGAAATACCCAGTTCAAGAAACATCAAAAGCAGCATTTCTGAACAATGTGTTAGGAATTGTTATAAGAACATAATGTATGTTATGAGGGCACTGCTTATTTAATAGTTAAGAGTTTAACTCTAAAGTCAGTCTTCCTTGGATCAAATCCTGGCTCTACCAGTTAATCTGTGACTTTGGCTACCTCTTTGTGCTTTTGTTTTCTCTTCATATTTTATGTTCTCAAGCTTCCTATTTCTCCATGTCATTATATGAAAGAACAATATTTTGTCATTTTTGTCAAAGAAATTAGGAGTAGTAAAATGTGAATAATGATAGTCTTCCCTTGCAGGACTGTTGTAAGAGTTAAATAAAGTTAAACATATAAAGCATTTTGACACTTTCTGAGTTGTAGAATATGTGAAGTCTTGTTCTCCATGTTGCCTCAAAAATAATTACTAGTATTTCCAATATTTGTAATATCATTATGAATAGAGTGATGAGACCAATATCCCACTCTATCAAAGATGATCTTTTCATTCCCAGCCTCATTCTTTTTCTACTACAAACTTTCCTACAAATGTTTTTTATAGACTAACTTTATTACATAATAAAGGAACAAGAAAGAGGGGGATGCTAAAAATAATCAAAACTCACTAGAACTTGAACATAATGTTTATTATATATATAATAATATCTATATTATTATATATTTTATTATATATCTATATTATATATATTTTAATATATATCTATATTATTATATATTCTATTATATATTCATATAGGGAGGCCATTTTGATTCCAGAAAAAGCAAATGGCTCTGAGAATGTAGGTACAATGGGTCTTATAAAGAGAGGAGGAGAAATAAATATAGAGGATCAACCATTGGCTAATCTTAACATGATTGATTGAATCCTGCCTTTCCCCCTTTACTGAGATCAACTGATATCAGGTTACTTCTGGCCTGGCTGCTAATAATTTGGCCCTCCACCCACTTGCAGCCATAAGGCTTTTTCAGATTTAAATTAGGAAGCAATTGCTTTGAAAATTATACTTTTCTAGCAGGATAACACAAATTTACATTGCTATGGAACAGCTTCTGGCAAGCTTTTGCAGTTTGGGCCAGGCTTTTTATGGTTAATATTTGGTTTCATGAATAAGAAGAACCTTAAAATCAAAATGAGAAAAAATACTGCACATTGTCGGAATAAAGGTGAAGTGTATGTAAGGTATTGTAAGTGAAAAGTACCAAATACTTATGGGTATGAGGAAGAAGGTAGAGAAGAAACCTATTTTAATAATTAATGTGTGCATGATGTATTTGGATTACTTTCAAGATCTTTCAATAGATAAGAGTAAAGAACAAAATTCCTCCATAATTACTTTTCTCTGCTGAACTATATTTTTGCAAATGACATTGCTTCAATATTAATCAGGTGTAATCTGGGTCTAATAAGGGTTGTAACTGAGGGCAGGAGTAGAGCTAGTCTATAATTTTGGTTTTAAGGTGTGGTCCTCAGCTGCCAGTTAAATTAAAATCATTACATTAGATTTGAGACAAGAGTGCATTTCACCATGAGCGTGAGATTGTTGCAATGATATTGAAAGG